GGTGCAGGCCGTCATTGTTGTTTGGCGGCCCGGGCTGGATTTGAACCCGCCACCTTGGGTGTATGTGGCTGGCGTCTTAGGCACTTGAGCCACAGGCACCGAGCCTCTTTAAAGAATTTTAATAGCCTGGCTGTAATATCAATTGTATGTTAGGATAAGTTCCTTGGAGAAAACTAGATCACTCCTAGGTTTGGTGACTAAATAAAGGTCTGAGTAGTTCTCATAGCGATGAGGTATAACAGGAAAAGGATACAAAGAAAAATCACCCACAGGAGAGGCACATGGGACATAGACCAGAGGAAATCAGACTCAGACTTCCAAGAATCTTCGTGAACTCATGCAAGATACATTCATTCCCCTAACAAGGACTATCGACCACAGATGTGAAGTGCTGTCCACCTGCGAGGCTCTCTAGAGCCCCAATGTCCAGGAATTTTATTAGGAGTTGTTCACATAGAACCTCCTGCCTAGCATATGCTAAAGTTCCAGACCCTGAGAAGGAAAACAGATGCCCAGCTTAAACTATGTGCTTTGGACAAACAGGTTAGACACAATGAGCCATTAATATCAGGGAATGATGGAAACCCTCCTACACTCCAGGTTTCCAGATGCCAGTCAAGGAGCCATCTTACTAGGAGACCTCTATAAAGAAATTTATGAAACATCAAGAAAGGAAATAGCATAGGACTTTAACAAATGGAAGAACATAGCATGCTCATGGCTAGGAAGAATCAACATTTTTTTTAACAAATATTTAAATCATTTATTGCCATTAAGTTACAGCATCTCAGTATACACACTGCATGGAAATACACAGATCACATTTTTAAACACCAGAGATAAGCATTTAGGTTGTGGCCAGCTGTTGGTTGTCTTGCTGTCATTAAAGAAAAGTCCAGAGTTCTGAGAACTTAATTGCTAGTAGTTACAAATTTTGTTCTCTTCAGTTTTTCACTGAGTACATTTTAATAGATAATATACATATTACTGCATATGTATACAAATTAATTGCATATTTTGAGCTACTCTTTATGAAGAGAAGTAAAATATTCAGTAAGGCAGCAGAGAGTTAGTTTACAGACTCTTGGCTATCTCTATAAAAATAGTATGGTTAGTAAAAATAGCGTTCAGCGTTATTTTCCCTAGCAAGACTATGATGATGGAATCTGTGATTCAGCAGCGTAGCTGGTGATGCTGTCCCTTTAAAAGCTAGTTCTTCATTTCCCTTGTTATGCAGATGCCTTTTTAGTCACCTCATATTTAATAAGCTGTCCTCCCTGGATGACCTGGGCTACTTCACTCGTTGCATGGCATGCTAACAGGAGCCAGTTTCCAGGCTGCACCAAATGTCATCCGCCCACTGATAATCTCTCGAGATTTTTTCATGTCATTGATGGCAGCAATGGGCAGACCCCAGTTAGCTACTGGGCCCCAGAAGTGAGTACTCATGAGGTAGTCCTGGAAATCCTTGCTCCAGACATAGTCTGCTGCTTTCCGCACCAGCGCGCCAGCCATGACTGTGCCAGACGTCAGCTCCTCCTGCTCCCCGCAGCTGCCTCTGCTCCTCGGAGCCCAATCAGAATCAACATTGTTAAAATGTCTATACTTCCCAGAGCAATTTACCAATTCAATGCCATCTCTATTAAAATACCAACGTCCTATTTTCAAGACTTGGAAAAAGTGATTATGTGCTTTGTATGGAACCAGAAAAAACCTCATATAGCTAAGATAGTTATTAGTAATAAAAACAAAGCTGAGGGCATCACCATACCAGATTTTAGCCTGTATCACACAAGGCTGTAGTGGTCAAGATAGCATGGTACTGGCACAAAAATAGAGACATAGACGTTTGGAACTGAACAGAAAACCAGGAAATGAAACCAGCAACTTCAGCCACCTAATCTTCAATAAACCTAACAAGAACGTCCACTGGGGGAAAGACTCCCTATTCAATAAATGGTGCTGGGAGAATTGGATATCCACATGTAAAAGACTGAAACTGGACCGACACTTTTCTCTACTCAAAAATTGATTCAGGATGGATAAAGGGCTTAAATTTAAGACATGAAACAATAAAAATCCTCAAAGAAAGAATAGGAAAAACACTGGAAGATATCGACCTGGGGAAAGGCTTTATGAAGAAGATTGCTGGGCGGCGCCTGTGGCTCAAAGGAGTAAGGTGCCAGCCCCATATGCCAGAGGTGGTGGGTTCAAACCCAGCCCCAGCCAAAAAAAAAATTAGGAAGAAGATTGTCATGGCAATAGCAACAACCACAACAATAAACAAATGGGATTTAATTAAATTGAAAAGCTTCCATACAGCCAAGGAGACAACAGCCAAAGCAAATAGACAACCTACCCATTGAGAAAGGATATTTGCATATTTTGAATCAGACAAAAGTTTAATAACTAAGATCTATACAGAACTTCAATTAATCCACAAGAAAAAACCCAACAATTCCATACATCAATGGGGAAGAGAGATGAACAGAACCTTCTCTAAAGAAGATGGATGAAAGGCTATCAAATACATGAAAAAATGCTCATCATCCCTAATTATTAGAGAAATGCAAATTAAAACCACCCTGAGATATCATCTAACCCCAGCAAGAAAGGCCCACATGACAAAATCTCAAAACTGCTGATGTTGGCACAGATGTGGAGAGAAAGGAACACTGTCACACTGCTGGTGGGACTGCAAACTAATATAACCTTTTAGAAGGAAGGATGGAAAACCTTCAAAGAACTCAAGCTAGATACCCATTTGATCCTACAATCCCATTACTGGGCATCTATCCAGAAGGAAAAAAACACCTTTTATTATAAAGACACTTGCACTAGACTGTTTATCGCAGCCCAATTTACAAACACTGAAATGTGGAAACAGCCTTAATGCACTTCAACCCAGGAATAGATTGGCAAGCTGTGGTGTGTGTATACCATGGAATATTATTCAGCTATTTAAAAAAATGGAGATTTTGCAGCATTTGTACTAACCTGGATGGAGGTGGAACATATTATCTTTAGTGAAGCATCACAGGAATGGAGAAGTATGAATCCTATGTATTCAACTTTGATATGAGGACAGTTAATGACATGGTGGGGCATGGGGGAAGCGGTGAGCAGACAGAGAAGGAGGGAGGGGGTGAGAGTAAGGACAAGGAAAAAAAGAAAATAGTGACTAATTCTCACATAAATTGGATTCGATTTTGACTAAAGTACCTCACTTAAACATTAATTTGTACTTCAACTTGTTAATATGTTGTTTAGGACACAGGATATTGCACCCTCATTTAAAAGTGAATTATGTTTGTAATTTCCCCTTAAAATAATATATTTTTTCCACTTTTAATATCAGGTATATCCAGATTAAGTAGAATTATTTTGAAGTATTTCTTTTTCTATTGTCTGTAAGATTTGACATGATATGGTTTTTTTTTTTTGAGACGGAGCCTCAAGCTGTCCCCCTGGGTAGAGTGCCATGGCATCACACTCACAGCAACCTCCAACTCCTGGGCTCAAGCGAGTCTCCTGCCTCCGCCTCCCAAGCAGCTGGGACCACAGGCGCCCGCCACAACGCCCGGCCATTTTTTGGTTGCAGCCATCATTGTTGTTTGGCGGGCCCGGGCTGGGGATTCAAACCCGCCACCTCAGGTGTACGTGGCTGGCGCCTTAGCCGCTTGAGCCACAGGCGCCGAGCCCATGATATGGTTTTTGAAATTATCTTTTATTTTTACTTATAAATATTAGTTGCCTACTTTTTGAGACTTTGGAAAAAAATAAGAAGTTAATTGATGACTCTATACTGAACCTCAGAGTCAAAGCATTCTATAATAGTCATACTCTTATTTGATGATGTGAATGTTACTTTCTTTGCATTACTATTATTATTATTATTATTGCTTAATACTTCATTGCAGCAATCATCTGATTTCTTTTCTGAATGTATTTATCTTCATTCATTCTTTACAAGGTTTTTGTTTCTAGTCCTTATCTTTTTTTTTTATAGCATAGGGGTATACATTAATGCAATCATGGGGTACAGTGTGCTGTTTTCATATACATTTTGAAATACTCTCATCAAACTGGTTAACATAACCTTCATGTCATTTTCTTAGTTACTGAGTTAAGACATTCATACTCTGCTTTTAGAAAGATTCACTTGTACCCTTGTAAGATAAACCATAGAGGTGACCCCACTCATCACCCTCCCTACCCCCACTCTAGTCCTTATCTTAAACATTGTTATTGTTAAATTTTAAGCCTTTTTAATTCTGTGAAGGCAAAAAGTGGAAACCTAAAAATCACATGTATATGTAAAAATAAAAAATAAAAATATAATAAAAAAGAAAAACAGTTTATCTTTTGGTTTATTGAACCATGTGTAGTTTGATGATTTTTGTTATACATGTTATAGAATGTAGTTTTATTTCTTATCCTCTAAAATATGAAATTCTTTTTTTCTTAGCTACTGAAACATAAAGACAGGATCATAACCTTCAGAGAGTTAATCGCTAATGAAAAAGCATTTCAAGATCATGTGATTGAGGTTAGTTTAACAGTTACGGCATACTTTAACATAAAAAACACAATTCCAGATATTTATATTTGGGGGGTAAGTTTGCTGAAGTCCTTGTAGCTGTTTCAGTCACTGATAATTTCTTTCATTTTTAAACCAATAAAGTACTTATTGCTAAGTGTTTCAAAAAGTGCGAAAGTATTGAGAGTGATGACAAATATGTTTAATCTCAGGTCACAGACTTTGACTCAGATGATACCAAGAATGTCAAAGATGTGCCTGTCTTACTGGGAGTCAAGCTGGATAAGTATCACAATCTGAATGAGGAGCTTGATTTCTTGGTGAGAAAGACTTTTCATCGCCTTGCTATCATTTTCACACACATCATTCTATTAACAAGTTTAAGAAATCATCAACCTTCAGAAAATTTGCTCATAAAATAGTCACAAATTGGCATCGATACATGAGTAACTAAAACCTACGAAAGTACAAAATGGAAAGTTGCATTGTGGGGTTTTAAAATATTAAATATCGTCTCACCTAGTTTCTGTTTAGACTAATCAGATTTATTTCTTTGAAAATGCAGAATTCAAAAAGTATGTGCTGTTTTTCACAGCAGATGAAGCACATTTACATTGTTACCTATGCTACCATTGTAGCTTTATACGACAATCATGATTAAGGGGTGCTTTGGAAAATAACACTCGCGGTTTACTTTAGATGGCATGTAAAAATAAAGGCAGATAAAATAAGAAAAAATATGTGACAAGGAAATGAAAATATGATCCCGATATCTAGATATACCCTAATTTAACAATTCACTAGAATGAAATGGATTAATTAACATAATTTTTTGAGAGCAGTTAGAGATGTCTACCATTGTATTCTAAACTATTAAAAAGCAGCATTCTCGGCTCAACGCCCATAGCACAGTGGTTATGGCACCAGCAACATATACCAAGGGTAGTGGGTTTGAACCCAGTCCAGGCTAGCTAAATAAGTGTAACAAAAAAATACCTGGGCATTGTGGTGGGTGCCTGTAGTCCCAGCTACTTGGGAGGCTGAGGCAAAAGAACCACTTAAGCCCAAGAGTTTGAGGTTGGTATGAGCTGTGATGCCACAGCACTCTATTGATGGTGACATAGTGAGACTCTGTCTCAAAAAAAAAAAAGGCAGCATTCTCTACTAAATCATTGCATACCCATTCACCTTTAAGAGAGAAGAAAATCCAATGATATGAGGGTCCAAAAGGGGTTTTTTTGTTTTCTAATTTATTAATTTTTTTCATTTAATGAGTAATTATTGACTTCCCACAGAAGATGAACAATGCTGTCACTATGGAGGTTGAAAGCTAAGTGAAACATAAGCCCTGCTACTGGGGAATCTAGCACAGAAGATAAAATATTTTAATAATCATTAACAAGGAAAGGACGTTTTCAGAAAAGAGATACAGTGACTGCATCTAACAGAGTAGATATTTGCCAAAGGATTGGAGTTCAGAGGAGGAAGGGACAACTTCCACGTGGGAGGATCACAGAAGGCTTTGTGAAGGAGATGGCAGCTGGGCCTTGAAGCCCAGTCCAATTGGGGTGTAGGGACGTGAGAGGAGAGCACTCAAGACATTCTGTCACTCATTAGTATTAACTGTTCTTTAGGCCTTGGTGATAGGGAGATTATGAGAGTGAACCTTAGTCTTCCCAGCAATGGGAACTGGAATGGGCGCACAGTTACATATGATAGAGTGTCAGACACACCATATCACTTTTAAAACATACTGTGGCTTTCCTGCACAAAACTAATCTCAGAGATTCTAAGTAATTGACAAGGGACAGTCCTTCATTGAGAAGTGTTAAGCTATTAAAAGCAGGAAGAAAAAATGTATTTGGAAAATTATATTTTGTATCCATGAATAAAATAAGGGATATAAACAGTTATCATAATGGGTACTGAAACCTTTAGATTCAAGACTGATAAGGAGCTTTTAATGAATGGATCAGACTGACAAATACCTGAGCCTGCTGATCA